TTCGAATCCACCCATTCTCTCAATCAATTTTCCATCTTTGATATTTTTCTTATGACTGCATGCTATCTTTGATAAGTTTCTTATTCATTCCCTCTCTATTAATGAACCTATAGTATTCTCATCGATTTTTAAGTGAATTCTTTATATGTTGAAATACAGATATCAACTGTGTTCATTCTGGCCTTTAATATTTGGGGCAGATTGAATCATCCTTCCTTCTGTGGATTTAGAAATATCCTGTACCTTCCCCACGATTTGTAAAAGTTCTTCAAGACTTTGTTTTCTTCGTCATGTCTCATAAAAGGAGAAGTTCCTCCCACCTAAACAGGCAAATTGACACATTGCTTTGCCACCACGTAATGCAATCCATGTATTATACCATATAAAGCCAGATAAGTAATCTAGGCTCTTTCCTTAATATCTTCTAAAAAAATGCACAAGTCCTTGCTGAAGGTTTGGATAATTTCAACATTTTACAAGCAGTAACTCACACAAGTGAAGATTGAACATTAACATCCCTGTTCACTGAAAATGATCCCAAACAATTGCTTCCCAGTCTCCACTGGAAAAAGGAGGAAGCTGAGAATGAAATGTGAGGGTTTCCTTGGTCCTGGTTACATAGAATACTGAACTTGGTCCTGCCATAAATGTCACATATAATTTTCCTTCATTTTTTTGCCATTTTATTTTTCATATGGCAATTTTTATAACATAATTTTTAATGTGTTTTAATTTGTCAGTGTTTTCTTTTAAGTTTTCTGCCTTTGATAGTATGTTTAGAAAATGTTTTTCCTTGCATGCACACTGATGTACATTCCTTCTAGTGTTTTAAAGGGTTATTTAATTTTTTTTTACATTTTCAAAAAAAGCAAAATTTGTTTTGAAATACAAGATAATAACTTAATCTTTTTTCCCCAGATAGTCAACTAATTAAGATTATTAGATATTCCAAAGTTGTAAACATCATGCCACAGTCTAGAGCAGTGTTAATAGAAATATAATGTGCACCACACATGCAATTTACAATTTTATTGTAGTCACACTAAAAAAACAAGTAAAAGTAATTTTAATAATATATTTTATTTAACCTAATATATCCAAGATATTAGCAGTTCAATATATGATTGACATCAAAAGTTTTTATTTTATTTTTAGTTGACATGTAATAATTGTTCATATTTATAGGGTGCAGAGTGATATTTCAATACAGGTAAATGGTAAAATCAGAGTAATTAGTATATTCATAATCTTAAGCATTTATCATTCCTACTGTGAGGATTCAAAATCTTCTCTTCTAGTTTTTTGAAAATATACAATAAATTATTGTTAACCATATTTACTCTATAGTGCTATGGAACACTATTCCTCTCATCTAACTCTAATTTTGTATCTGCCAACCAACCTTTCCCTATCCTTCCCACTCTCTACCCTTCCCAGCTTCTAATAAACACAGTTCTACTCTCTCCTTCTATGAACTCTTTTTTTTTTTTTAGCTTCTACATGTGAGAACATATGGTATTAATCTTTCTGTGCTTGGCTTGTCTCACTTAACACAATGTCGTCCAGGCTCATCCATGTTGCCACAGATGATAGGATTGTCTTCTTTTTTTAAGGCTGGATAGTATTCAATTGTGTATATATATATATACCATATTATCTTTATCTGTTGATTTGTTGATGGACATTTAGGTTGATTCCACATCTTAGCTTTTGTGAATAAAGCTGCATTAAATATGGGGGTGCAGATATCTCTTTGATATACTGATTATTTTCTTTCTATTGGATAGATATCCAGTAGTGGGACTGCTGGATCATACTTAACAGCAAAAAAAAAAATCTGATTTTAAAATGGGAAAAACACTGAATAGACATTTCTCAAAAGAAGACATACAAATGGCCAACAGATATACAAAAAAGAAAGTTCAGTATCACTAATCATCAGAGAAATGCAAATCAAAACCACGTGAGATATCACCTCACCTGTTAGAATAGCTGTTTTTTTATTGGAGTCTTACTCTGTCACCTAGGGTGGAGTGCCATGACACACTCACGGCCACCCCAGCATTGACCTGCTGGGCTCCAGAGATCCACCGCCTCAACCTTCCAAGTAGCCAGGACTACAGGCACGTGCTACCACGCCCAGCTAATTTTTTCTTTTTTTTTAATTTATGGTAGAGAAGAGGTCTCGTCAAGTTGCCTGGGCTGGTCTCGAACCTGCAGTCTCAGGCAATTCATTCACCTCGGCCTCCCAAAGTGCTGGGATTACAAGAGAATAGCTATTATTAAAAAATAATAATAACAAATGCCGGCAAGGATGCAGAGAAAAGGGAATGCTGATACACTATTGGTGGGAATGTAAGTTAGTACAACCAATATGAAAAACAGTATAGAGGTTTCTCAAAAAACTGAAAATACAATATCAAAAGCTATTAATAAGATATTTCACATTCTTTTAACCTACTGAATCCTCAAAATTCAATGTGTGTTTTACACATTCAGTACATCTTAATTCAGCCTAGTCACAATTCTAGGACTCATTAGCCATATGTGGCTAGTAGTTACTGTATTGAGCAGCACAGCTAGGGTAGGGTTTTTCACTCGGGGCACTATTGACATTTTGTACCTGATAATTCTCTGTTGTGGGCTGTCCCATGCATTTGGAGAGATTAGCTGCATCCTTGGCCTCTACCTTCAAGATGTCAGTAGCAATCCTCCCCCAGTAGTTACAACCCCAAATGTCTGCAGACACTGATGAATATCCCAATGGGGGTGGGGAAAAATTGTCCCCAGTTGCGAACTAAAGGTCTAGATAAACTAAAAACGAATCTTAGGATCATCTGAGAGATAATTTTCATTTTAGAAGCTAATATTACCATAGCCACTAAATCATGACAGTAGTACTTACAACAATTAAAATTCTATCTAGTCCCCATGTTCTTTTTTTTTTAAACATATTTTTTATTTTAAAATTGTGAGGTACAGTTAAGGGTTGGATATACAAATATGCATTGTTCAGGCACCCTTGTTGATAAGGGGTGTCTCCCCATCCCCAGACAGATATTGACTACCATTAATCCCACCACCCTTGCCCTCCCTGCCTGCCCCCATAAAGTCCCACCACTATCAATACTTTTCTTATAGTATTACGATAGATGTTCAAGGTCCACTTATGAGTGAGTACATGTGATACTCAGATCTTTGTTGCTGTGAAAGATCACTCAGTATTATAGTAGTTCCATTCAGGTTGCTGCAAAATTCATGATTTTGTTATTTTTTATGGCTGCATAGTATTCCATCATGTATATGTACCACATTTTTTAGATCCAGTCCACTTTTGATGGACAATATGGTTGGTTCTAGGTTCTTGCTATTGTGAAAAATGCTGCGATAAACATACGTGTGCAGGTATCTTTTCTATAGAGTGATTTGAGTTCTTCAGGGTATATTGCCAGTAGGGAGATTGCAGGATCATATGGGAGGTCGATATTTAGAGCTTTTAGGAATCGCCACACTGCTTTCCACAGAGGTTGCACCAGTTTACACTACCACCAACAGTGTATAAGTGTTCCCTTTTCACCACATCCTCTCCAGCATCTGTTATTTTTTGAGTTATTGATAATGGCCATTCTGACTGGAGTTAGGTGGTATCCCAGTGTAATTTTGATTTGCATCTCCTTGATGATTAGTGAGGTTGGCCACTTGTATGTCTTCTTTTGTGAAGTGTCTGTTCATATCTTTTGCCCACTTTGTAATGAGGTTGTTTGTTTTTTTCTTTTCAGCACGTTTGAATTCCTTGTAGATCCAAGATGTTAGGCCTTGGTCAGACATGGAGTTGGTAAATACTTTTTCCCAGTCTGTGGGCTGTCTTCCTGCCCCCTTGATGGTTTCTTTGGCTTTGCAGAAGCTTGTCAGTTTAATGAGTTCCCACTTGTCTCTCTTATCTCTTATGGCCTGTGTGTTTTGGGTTTTGTTCGGAAATTGGATGCCAGTTCCAATTTCCATAAGGGTATGTCCTGCCTTTTCTAGTCCCCCTGTTAAATTTACAAAAAGAAAGAGAAGGAGGAGAGGAAGAGGAGCAGGGATGGCAAAAAGGGAGAGAGATGGGAAGAAGAAGAAGGAGAAGACAGAAAAGAAGGAAGAGAAGGCTCTTTTAATATACCTTTGTACTTATTTTGGACTCCTATCCACAGAAAAATATATTGACCCAGAAATGAGCCCACCTTTGTGGCTGACATCAACACATAATTATTTCAAAAAACCCTGAGGATCTTGACTTTGAAAGGGATCCAATGTTTGAGTTGCAACATGCATCGGACAGTGCCTGTGTATTCAGGTTCTTGGGGGCACCCAGTGTTGCTCAATCCTAGACTGCTTACTTCAAAAGATAGCATTTAATATCAGAAGCTACTAACAATAGATGTCAACCTTTTCCAAAGTCTCTCTTATCAACCTGGACGTCAGTAACTAGAAGCCTCAATAAACTGTGATGTTGTCAAGGTACTTAACTTTACATATATATGTATAAAAAGCCAGAGAAATCAAAATTACAGCAGAGATTTATTCAAGGAAGGAAAGAAAAATAGGGCAGGGGCAGAAGGAAGGAACTAAATCAGGAATACATCTTGGAACACCTAACATTCATTATAATCCTGTCCACCCAGACTTACATGTGCCTATACAATGTTCAGAATGTTGACCTTTATGTACAGGAAGATCCTGAATTATTAGAATCAAGAATCTACTATTTCCATTCTACTTCACAGATTTTTAAAGTTTCTTAACAACAAGAACTAAAAACTAAGAGGTTTCTGGTTGTCTCCTGGTTAATGAGAACATTAAACTAACCAAGAGTTTCCACTTCCCAAGTGTTCTGGCTTATGGAGGATTTATTCTAACTAGCTGAGCTCATTTGAAGATACTGAGAGTCTAACTATCGGGCATCTATATTAGGTACCCTGGGTACAGCAGACAACAACCTGTCTTCCCAGGGACAGTTGGGACTATTGATATAGGAGAAATTTTTCGAGTGGCTCCGGTAGACACAGCTTGTGGATGACTTGATGACATATTCGACCCAGGCACTTCCGGACACACAGGCGGCAGAGCTGGGAAAGAGTAGGCGGGCCTGAGGGAGGGAACAAAAATAGTGTGAATTTCATGGTGGTGGGGCGGGGTAGGGGGCTAGAAGGGGGAGAACAGAGTACTGGAAGTGGGTGAAACTTTCTAAAAGCAGAAGAGAAACTGGGTCTGTATAGGAATTATAGAATGAGGTAGCAGAGACTAAGTACAGACAAGAGGACCACTATTTGGCCCTCCTGGATGAGCTAATCTCTTTAAGTTGATTTTCCAATGGTAATTGCACCACTGATATTGACAAATGAGGCCAATCGGAGGCCAGTTAGGAATGAAGTGTGGGGTCTAAAGGGAATGCACCTCATTCGCGTATTGCACTTACAAATGAAAGCGATATACTAGCCAAGAATAAAATGCAAATAGAGGCACTGAGAATGCAGGGCCCCCTGACAGAGCTGCAGAGCAGGACAACTGTGGAAAGGGTATCAGCAGGAAGTTCCATTTGTGTAGTCGCAGAGGCAATGTTAAGTGATGTGTCAGGAGTTAGATACTCAGCCCTCAAAGTCTTCCTGGACTTCCTGCTTCTAGCTGCCCAGAAGGTGGTGTTGGCTGACCCCTAATTACACCTAGAGGGGCCCTCTATTCTTTCAAGAATTCAAACTCAAAAGAGATCTGCAGGAAGAACACAACTCAGACCCTGTTAGCCTCTGAACCTTGGTCTCATGGAGTCTCATGGAGTCACCATTCCTAAGACTTTGAAGCCTTGCGGAAAATAAGTGATGAAAGTCCAAAACATGGTTGAATAGGCTGAGTGAGTTTTTGGCTAAAATACTAGTTGTACAGAGGCAATCATAATATCCCACCGTTTCCTAACTTGACTATCAGTAAAGATCTCTTCAAGTAGATCTAATGACTGGCCTATACAAAGTTTTCTTTTTCAAAAAAAATCCTACTCTAACAGAATCTTACTCTCATAAAAATGATAGAAATAACCAGGTAACACTTGGCTTGACATTGCCAAGGAGTGTATATGTGCAGGAAACTATCTGGAGGACAAAACAATCACCCTTCATTACAATCTTGGTAATCGGGACACTGCCAGGGGAGGGGGGTGGGGCACATAACATCAATAAGGTACCTGATCTCAAACCAGGTGAAGTGGGGACCAAAGGGAGGCCCAACTTTACTTGTATGATGACCACTTGTATACCTAATTCTGAATTGTACCCCACATCTTGAAAATAAAAATATTTTAAAGTTAATAAATAAATAAAACTACACCAAAAAAATCTTGGTAAGCAAGAATGGAAAATGTCTCTACCTGCTGTCCAACTTAAGCTCCTCTGAAAAACAATAATGCAGACAAATTGTCCAGTTTGCCTAGGGAAGTTCAGATACCAAAGTGAGTTCTGATGTGGCTGGTATTCATCTTTCTAGAGCAAGTGGCTATACAGATAAATACAGAGGACAGAGGAGCTTGCTTATAAGGAATGCAAATCCTAGACCTGGAAACACTTTTGACAGAAGAAAACAAGAATTACGAAAATGCTATAAACTATATTCTCAGCTAACAATTGGAAAGTACTGTTCTTTCCAAACTGGGATCCGATAAGGAAGATCATAATTCTTCTGGTGGAGACTCAAATAAAAGAACAATCGATAATGATCTAGACTGTTGGAGATAATCTAGACCAGTGGCACTCAAAGCATGCTCCTTAGACCAGCTGCATCAGCATGATCTGGAAGCCTGCTAGACATGCAGAGTCTCAGGCCCCACCCCAGACTTCCTGAATTAGAATCTGTATCTTAAGGAAATCCCCAAGTGACTTGTGTGCACATTAAAGCTTAAGAAGCACTGATTTAGAGAGGCTATTTCCTAAAACAAATCAAGCACTCCATTTGGAAGCTATGTACGATGTGGAGGTGGTTTCACAAAATGGAACTGGTGTGTGAAATGAGACTCCTCCCCACTGGAAACTGTCTCAGAAGATCCGAGATTGGAATCTCATAACATTAAGAGTACACATTCTGGGGTCAGATGGCTTGGTTTGAAGTCCATTTAGTTCTACATCTGAGTAGCTCTGTGACCCTTTGCAAGCCAATCTCTCTATGCTTTGCTTTTCCCATTTGTGGCAGGGGTAGTGCCTGCTACTGCTGTATAAAGTTTTCGTTGCTTTAAAAGTTTTAAGCATTCAGTGAGATTAATCTATGTTTCAATTTTAGCACAGTGCCTGGCACGTGTAAAGCTGAATAATTACGATTATCTTTAATATTCTCTCAAGCATACAAATGATCAATATAGGCTCAGAAAATGTTCTCTGACTGTATAAGCATGACATGGATCGCTTTGGAATTTGGGATACGGAGCATTTTAGAAGCTCACCCTTCTTCCTCTGGCATCTATTATTGCTCATAATGCCCGTGGTGGAAATAGGAGGAATGCAGACCTACCTACTCCTTGATCTGGAGAACAGTCAAGAGACCTCTCCATTTAGTCGAGTTCCTGAAATATACGTTCTCTGTCCCCCCTATTACCTCTAACTCAAGTCTTCTGAATTTGTCACTGGATTATCTCCCAATATTACAAAGCAGGGTTTTGGTTTGCTCAATCATGTGTTTATGCCAGGATAGATGTAAAAGTTCAAACTTTTCGGGGTAAAAACAAAGTTTTCTGATTCTTTTCTTGTAATGGAAAGTACAAAGCTTACACTCCAGTTGTATAGAAATGCCCTTTGGTTAAAAGTGAATATGCATTGAGGCGGAAGGATCACCTAAGCCCAGAAGATCGAGGCTACGGTGGCCGTGAGTGTACCACTGCACTCCAGCCTGGGCGACAAGAGACTCCAACTCAAAAAAAAAAAAAGTGAATATACACTGCGTTCCTCATTGCCTTACCCTTATTTCCACTATGGGCATTACGAGCAACAACAGATGCCAGAAATCCCAGAAGACATGTCAGTGATGGCAGGACTTGCCCCCGCCCACAATGCCACCCTCAATTGAAAAGAGAAAAGGAAGAGAGGCTAGGGATGAGACAGGAAAGAGAGATAGTGGTGTGCTTATGGAAGAGAAGCAGACACCCGCCCTCCATTACCTTCACGGAGCAGGAGCGCCTGCTCCACGGGGCTTTTCGGAGCCGCCAGGTCAAGGGCACTTTTGCCCTGAGCATTTCTGTGCTTCAGACTAGCCCCATAGTCAGTTAGCAGGTGGATGACTTCCACACTGGTTTGCCTTGCTGCGGCATGGAGGGGGGCGTCCAGCCATTGGCCGTGGTCCACACTGGCTCCTTAACAAAACAGATGGTGGCAATTCAACACTAAACATTAATGTAAAACACGGTGAGCCTCGAATATAGTTGCTGTATATAAAGACATCTTAAGACGAATCTTTGAAAATATGTAATTTAAACTCAGACCTCAGCAATGCCTACTAAAACTGTTTCAAAATATTTTGGTGAGATAAGTTAATTTAAGTAATTTTTAGTCATTTTAAATACTGTACATGCTTTCCCATACAAACTGTGTGACATACAAAATAAAATATTTGAGGATCTGTTACAAAGAGTTATTATGTTTGGGGGCAAAGGATTAAGCTAAATTTACCTAATATTTATGTAATTGGGGATCAAAAAGAAAGATTTCTGAATTTACTATAGAGAATAGTAAATGATGGGGAATAAAAAAAAGTCAAAAACTTCTTGGAGAAAAAATTCTCAACAAAAGGTTTTTACTAAACTTCCACCTTTATGTCAGGGGCTAAATTTGTTGAATCTTTAACCAAATAGTCATTTCAAGATATTTTAGCTTTCCCTGGACTTTCAGTTTCTGTATATGCCTTTTAGAATTTTTTTAAATAACTGAATAACTTAGCAGAATAGATGTAAACTAGTCTGTGGCAAACGTCTGTTGTTGTCCAGCATCTTCCTGGTAACCACATCTAGATTGCCCTCCAGGGAATCACCCTATTGTGATTCCTAGTTCTTGTGTTTCCAGTGAAGCCTAATAACTGCAGAGTAGACTGAGATCTAGGCCTAAGCCAATCAATGCATTGTATTTCCTTGGCCACCATGAGTGGTTCAGAGATGGCCATATGACTCAAAAAGAGCCAATACTCTTTCTTGATGCATATGGATGAGAAGAACTACAAGCCCAGGTATTGCTGGCAACCATCATGTGACTACTAGGGAGAACCATGCCAGGTAAATGGAGTTAACATCAAAGGAAGCAGAACAGAGGAATCTGAACACTCATTTCTTTAAAGTTCTCTTTTTAGTATCCAAACATCAAATGCTCTCAGAAGTTTTTACAGCCTGACAAGAACTCAATCTGTGAAACTGTAGAAAACCACCAAATTTAACTGGTTCTTTTCACAAAAAGATTTCTGGAAATTACCCAATTCTAGAAGTTTCTTCACACAGTCTACCCTCTGGTAGGTGCAGGCCACATACAGAGGAGTTCCAAGTTGAGGCACTTCTTGGTCAATGTCAACATTATTTGCCAGCAGAATCTCCATGCACTCTCTGTGACCTGGTGGAACACAAGATAATTTCACTCAAGTAAGAGACACATGAAATATTCATAGAATTATGGATTACTTATCCAGAATGGTCTTTAGAGATAACCTACATCTCTTTTTGTAGTAGAAAAAAAAAATTGTGTTTATTTTTGGAAATCTTGGGTAGAAACCCCAAAAATAAACTACTCAAACTCCTCCTTGCAGTCCCTGAGATAACTTTAACCAAACTAAGGGCTCAAAGGAACACAACTGTCATGCTCTAGAATGAAGCCACCATTTTACAAATATAGGTGACAAGACCCAGAATGGCAAATGACGAGCCCTGTGATTATTCTGAAAAACCCAGTTCTCTCTCCATTACGCATCTCTCATTTTCTTCTTTAACCATGCATGTAAGATTGGGTGTATGATCTACAAACTGATTTTGGTGAGCCTGGAAAACACCTATGAGAATGAATAAAAAGTCTCAAGTACGTATAATATATATTTAAATACATTTTCAAATTCAATGGTTGACAAGAATTATGTAAGCAATCACTCTCCCTCAAGAATTTGCCCAATAAAGAGATAGCCGTGATTAATCTGCAGCCTATGAATGCTTTGTTCGGGAAGAAATGCTTCTAAGGTATTGATAAGAACTTGCAAAGTATTAGTTCTCTTTGAAGATTAAATGTTTCCCTAAAAAATCTTATCATCACTAATTAATTTAACTAACTTTTTAAAAATAAATAACATAAAAAGTAAACTTTATCCTAGACCTACCTGACTTATCACAAATTCTGGATTAAGTATGTCTATTAAAATGTACAAAGCAAAATTCTGTAGATTCAAATTATTTGTTCACATAAGTAAATATTATACTTGGATTATAGCATCGATATATCAAGGTATTGACTCAAACTGTAGCCCAACTTGTTTAAAGCTGTGAGAATCCAAAAATAATATCTAGTTAGTACTAAAACTGCCTGGCAAATACAGGGTATTTAATAAATTTTTAAAATAAATCTTGTCTTTTTAAGAACAAGAAAGAAGCCGGGCTCGGTGGCTCAGCCTGTAATCCCGCGCCTTTGGGAGGCTGAGGTGAGTGGATTGCCTGAGCCCATGGGTTCGAGACCCGCCTGGGCAGCGAGACCTCATCTCTACAATAAATCAAAAAATCAGTCGGGTGTGGTAGTGCATGCCTGTAATTCCGGCTACTTGGAAGGCTGAGGCGGGAAGATCTCCAGAGCCCAGCAGTTTGAGGCTGCGGTGGCTGGTAGCGGCCACTGCACTGCAGTCTGGGCGACAGAGTGAGACTCCAACTCAAAAAAAAAAAAAAAAAGAACAAGAAACAGTCTGGTTTGAGTTAAATTGAAATATTCTCAGGAAATTTTAAAAGTGAAGATAGAAAAAGTAAATGACCAGCACTGATATAATAGTATCTAACATAATGAATTTGCTAATCATTCTTCCATTCTGTGGATGTTGATCCTTAACACACTTTTACAATACGGCAAAAAATAGGAACTCACACAAATCATGTGTTTATCGGAAGCATATATATGTTTTTAGGCACATAGATACCAAACTCCATATCTAATCTGCTAAGCACTGCAGAACTGCTTAATTAATTCAAAGCATTCCCAATATTTATCAATTTTTAAACATTTGGATGGAAATGCAAATAACATTTATACTTCAAATCAATATTAAAATTTTAAAAAGACTTTTGTATCATTCTAAAGTAGTTCATTACTCTACAATTTAAAGGACTTACTTGATGTTTGTGAAATGACTAACATCAGTTATTAACCAATAAATATTTATTAAATACATTTAGGACATAAAAGACATAGCTAAATTGAGATTTAAGTCTTTTGTATCACTTAAGGTAATCCAATGGAAAAATTTACCAAATGTCATGTTTAATAACCTGAGCCAAATCTTTTACTAATGTCTTTTGAAGTAAAAACTTTCATCCCCAACTATACCAGCAAAGATCACTATTTTAGAGTATTTTAACTTCTCCATCGCTACCAGCTATCCCTGAAACGTTGCTCTTTGGTATGTGACCTTTGACAAATGTCCTTGTCCTTTCAATGATATCTTCTTGCTCGTGTCTAATCTAATCTATGCATATAGTTTAAAATTCTTTAAATTTACTCTTTTTCCTCATTTCAAAAGTAACTGACAAAATAGGGGTCTGGAGTCAACTTCAAGATTTCCAATGCTATACTTTATAAAGTTGCTATTTTTTCCCAATAACTGTGATCTTGAAGCCATCAGCTCATCTACAGTGTATTACTTGTTGTAAGTAGTTACATTTACTGTTTCATTAGAGATAACATCAGCCTTGGCTTTCAGACACTTTCACAATGTATTTTAGCTTGGTGGTTGGTGTTTTATGGGCTTTGGAGGATGAGCTGTTCTTGCCTACTAGGGACAAAGACATAAGCATAGTACAATTCATGTAGGTCACAACTGCCATCTTGGCTATACCAGCTGCCACCAAAACATCAACAGGAAAGAACTGCCAAGAGACTGTCCCCAGAAAATGGGACGTCTGAGCCAGGAAAACATTCCCAGGTTATAAAAAGAGCTGTTTTGTGCCACACTGGTATTTCCTGAAGATTTAGGCAAATTGAAGTCACTGCTATGGGTCTCTAAATCACACATATTCTAATGGTGAGGAAAATCTAGGTGAGCCTTGCATGACCAGCACTAGACCATTGATACTTGCAGATTGGAGTGAGTCAGATTGAGTGGAGCAAATTCCCCATGCTGGTGAATAAGTCCACTGGTGTTTTGTGGGCATTGTGATAGCTCATTTACCTCTCTTCACTGCCTCATGGATGGGGGAAGCCAGATGTACTTCGAACTGGGCCTTGGCTCCAAACTCCAGCAGAACGTTGACACATGCAGCACTGCCACTGCAGCAAGCATTGAAGAGGGGCGTGGCTCCATGAACTGTCACTCCATTGACCTAATGATGGGCAAGGAGAGACCCAGGGAATTTTCTATTCCGTTCTCACTATCTCCAAATGTGTATTCCCATGTATCTGCCTAGAGAAATTCTCCACACTGATGAATAAGTGAAGGAACCCCACAGCTTTACAGTATTATGAAACATCATGAAGTTAGCGAGTGGATCGAGTGAGTTACTATATGTTAAACACTTAAAACCTTGCCTAGCACCCAATAAGCTCTCAATAGGCATGTGCAACAGCATTGTTTTCCATTTTCCATCAATATAAAGCTGACTCCTGCTCCTGGTCATGAACAAACCTGGCAAAACATTTATTTGTGCATTAAAAAGCCTATTCTCATGTTTGTCTTCCCTAATGGAATTCAACCCAAAGTACCAAAAGTACTAGAGAAATCATTTAGCCACGGTTCCAAAATCTGGGCTTGAAACAAATCTGCTAGGCAATTCCCCACAGTTCTACTGTCTTTCTTGCCACAGATTTCCTCTCTGGTCTACTGTTATTCATACAAATTGCACATGCCAGCTGTTACTCCTAAAGAAATCATGGCCAAGCCAAAGGCACATGGAAAATAGTCATCAATGTGGTGTCTCCAGCCGTTCTTGGCACCATCTAGAGATGTGGATGGCACGTGAGAACCAGCAGGGCTGGGAGGCATCTTTGTGCATCAACAATAGATTGGAAAGAACATTAGGGGACCAAGGCATTCTTGTAGGGAGGCTCTGATATGATGGAAATGGAGGGCAATGAGGGTTTGATGCCAAACCATTGTGCCTCAGCAAACCAAGGATAGATGCTTGTGATAATCAGTACTCTAAATTTCTTTGCTTTGGAAACAAAAATGATTTATCTCCAGGGTTCCAATATAACCCCCACTCCACTGGAAATTTAAAGATACAATGGTATGATGGCAGAGACAGACAAGGTCAGGGGAAAATGTATATAAATTCATATGCTAGGGATTTATATTTCTAACCTATTTATATTTTTACTAAAAATATTTGGTGGGACTGGTGTGTTTTACTAAGTATCATCCTTGTCCTCAGTCTAAGTCATCTTCTTACATAATTTCCTATCACTTTCTCTCTTCATTCGTAAACATATATTGAAGATCTACTAGGTAGCAATGTTTTAGAAACAATGATAAGACAATTGCCTCTGTTTGAATAGGCTGAATTCCATTAGGGAAGATAAACACAACAAGGGGCCTTTTAATAAATGAATACATGCTTTAGATCACTACGGGAGCAGAATAAAGGAGAGGATAGACTTGAGAATTACTTAGAAAGTAAAATTAGCAGAATTTTGTTGAGATGGAAAAAATAGGTTGACTCCCAGGCTTGGAGCTTGGGAGAGCAGGAGAGTGTTTAAACTGGCCTCTGAAACTTGGAAACCCAAGATGAGGAGCAGGTGCCAGAGGAAAGAACATGCTAAGCACAGTTTCAGATGCATTAGGTTTGAGGTATCCATGGGACTGCCAGTTATGTGGAGTTTTCTACTGATTGGTCAACTTTCTCTTATTCTTTGTCTCATTCTGATTTAAATGTTAAATGGTATGGTACAGTAGTTACTGCTTATTCCCTCGTAAAATCAACAAAGACAGGAAGCCATGCCTTATTCTTCTTGGTGCCCCACAAAATCTCCTCTCTGACCTGGCATTGTTTAACATTTCCCACCAGCAGTCTGCCTGTGACTCCAGACATCTAGCTTGAAAGGAAACAGCCCTTACACAGCCTCGCCCTCATCAGTGCCCAGTAGTTGACCAACTAGTAAGAGAAGCACCACCTAATGGAAATGTATGACCACAAAGGCATCAGAAAAAAACAGTTATCACAAGGAAGACTTTTATATTCAGTTCTACACGTAGAAACCCAACTTCTGTACAAAATGCGAGAACATAATCATTAAGTGTTTAAAAGCATTACAACTCATAAAACAAAGAATGCAAGAATTGAGCTAAACAATAAAATTCACAACAAAACAATATCTGGCACAAAACATAGGTGTCATTGAGATTTTTAGAAGTTGTGATTTTCTAATTCTATTCTGATATCTGTATTATATACAGTGCCTCAGTCATCTTTGAAAAAGGTTAGGATATGAATTAAAAACAAGATAAAGCTTAATTTTGTGTTTTTGACTATGTATTTATTAAAAGCTCATTTATTTTGAAAATGTTGCTCAGTAAAATTAGTTGTTTCCTTAAGGTGTTGAATTGTCTTTTATTAATCTTTAAATTGTTTTAATGTTTTACGATATAGATTTCTTAAAGTCATCACAATTTTGAAAGATTCCCATGAATCATCACATTTGAATGCTCACACACAGGAGTGTAGGCTAAAGAGAAGGGAGTAATAATCTTAATGAGGTAATATGAACAAGGACGGGACTAGGCCAGCCCTTACCCACAGTGGGTAAGCCATCTGGAAGGTCATGTGTCTTTAGAAATTAGCAGATACACCTGGGCAAATGGATCCCTGTGGGTAGGGGCAGTACTCACGTGTGCACCATTTTCCAATAAGGCTTTAGCACAGGCCACGTGACCTCCAAGGCATGCTTCATGGAGAGAAGAAACCCGATTAATTGTCACAAGGTTCACATTGACACCCTGTAATTTGGAGAGAAGAGGGTTATCTACTTATTAGATTCAAGGGGTACATATACAGGTTTTTTACATAGGTATATTGTATGATGATGAGGTTTGGGCTTCTATTGAGTTCCTCACCTAGGTGGTAGACATGGTACCCAGTGGGTAGTTTTCAATCCTCACACTCCTCCCTCTCTCCCCACGTTAGGAAGGCCCAGTGCTTCTTGTTCCCATCCTTGTGCCCATGTATATTCAGTGTTTAGCTCCCACTTATTAGGGAGAACGCATGGTATTCAGTTTTCTGTTTCTATGATAATTCACTCCGGATGGTGATCTGAACAGTGTTGAGCATCATTTTGATAAGCATTTGTTCCCTGCTCCATTTTCATTAGAATATTTAGAAGCCATTCAATAACATTTCAAGAGAGGCTTTATGATGGCCTAGTCCTCTGGAGGAGCTGCAACTATGGAGAAAAGTTTGACTCTGATGGATTCTAAATCCCTTGGTGGCTTCTTTCTTCCTTTCCTCCTTTCTTCCTTCCTTTCTTTCTTTCTCTTACCTTTCTACCTCAGAGGTCAAACATTGGAAGTCTTAGATGTTATGATCCTGAATGGAATAATTGGCCAACAGGTGGGTAATTCAGGCTGCAAAATCACCCACGGCTGAGACAAGACTATTTTGTTAGCAATGCAGGGTTGTTGGAAGAGTGGTTACACCAAGAATTGCCTCAGTTCTTCACTTTGTTTTGGATCAGCAAGACTTAAATATCTGACCATTATTTTAAGTGTAATTCCTTAAAGCCCAACTACTTAAGCTCCACCCACCTCCAGGTTTAACAAATTGTGTGACACTGAAACGTCATTTTTTTTCTCTCTGAGCCTTAGGCTCACTATCAATAAGGTTAAAAAGAAAAATTAACTATGTGATTTCTATGGTCCCTTCCAACTATGACTGTGTAAAATCTCTGTTGTATGGGATTAGAAATTAATTTAGCCTTTTTTTTTTTGAGTTGGAGTCTCACTCTGTTGTCCAGATTGGAGTACAGTGGCATGCTCCCGGTCACCCCAGCCCTGAGCTGCTGGGCTCCGATGATCCTTCTGCCTCAGCCTTCCAAGTAGCTGGAACTACAGGTGCACGCTACCACACCCGGCTAATTTTTTATTTATTGTAGAGACGAGGTTTCGCCAAGTTGCCTGGGCAGGTTTCGAACCCGCAGACTCAGGCAATCCACTCTCCTTGGTCTCCCAAAGTGCTGGGATTACAGGCTGAGCCACCAAGCCCAGTCTTAATTTAGCCTTTCTGGAGGGAAATTTACATTTTAAATGTTCATGCTCTTTGACTCAGGAATTCAATTTCTAGGAATTTTATCTTACAAAACTACCGGGATACACACACACACACACACACACACACACACACACACACACACACACACACACATTAATTACAACATTGTTTCAAAAGCAAAAACAGGAAACAAATTAATAAGAGGAGGGAGCCTAGGGCTGGGAGAACACACATCATACTTCCAACACTGGGAAGTGACTAGGATTGCATTGAGAGTGGAGTGGAATAAAGGGAAATTTCATTTGTATATAATTTGGGTTTTCAGTGGAAATATTTGTGTTTCTTCTGTGAAAGCTATTCTGATTGGTGCCTTATTGTGATTTTGATTTGCACTGCTCTGATGATTAATGATGTTGAACATTTTTTCATGTATTTGTTGGCTGCTTGGATGTCTTCCTTAGCGAAATGTCTGTTCGTGTCCTTTGCCTACCATTTAATGGGGTTATTAGTTTTTTTCCTGTCAATTCATTTAAGTTCTTTGTAGATTCTAGTCCAGAATATATATATATATGGGGGGATGGCATCTTGCTATGTTGCCTAGGCTGTCTGGAACTCCTAAACTCAAGAAATTCTTCCTTCTCAGTCTCCCAAAGTGCTGAGATTAGACGCACGTGCCACCACACCTGGCAGAAGAGAGTTAAATGCTGTGTTAACTCTCGATAGTAATGTTGTTTGACATGTTTCTGACATGTTCATGGCCTGTGGGTTTAATATTGACACCATATAGGGAGAAGCAGAGGTTATAACAAGGGGAGTCTAAACACAGTGTGGGATGCTCACATTCCTTTATTCAACAAATGCCTATTTAACATTCTGGATAACGTGCTATTCAAGTAATGTGTGAGAACAAAACTTGTGGCATGGGTCTCTCTCCTACCAGAGCCTACTGGCCAGGTGGAAATGAAAAACAAAACAACAAGAATATTGCTATAGTGGTAGTATATTCAAACTTCAGTTGCAAGCATGGGATATCCTTGACTCTGCCTTAAGGAGTAAGAAAAAATCTTCACAAATGAGGTAACATTTAGCTTAGGTTTGAAGCATAAAGCGTTTCAAGGTAGGAAAGCCAAGAAAGAGTATGCCAAGTATGCCATTAGGAGGGAACAAAAGATGCAAATGCAGGAAGCCACAAGAAGTGTGGCAGGGCCACAGCTGGATAGCTGGCTGCTTCTGAAACAGGGTCCACAGAAAGAAGAAGCAGGAGATGGAGGGAGAGGAAAGAGGACAACGAACTGGAGCCGGATCATGAAAGGCCTTGATTTCCAAACAGCAAGTGCATGTCTTAGAAGGAATGAGGCAACTATGAAATCTGTTAAGCTGTAAAAAGTCTGGAGTAAATAGATTAGACGTTTTAGGAGCGGTCCACTGGTAGCAGCATGGGGGTTTGATTGCAAGAGTAGGAAGGTGAGACTGGTCTCACCTTTTACTTTTACTTCTCCTATGTATGAGTTCCTTTTAAGAAAGCAAGAAAACGTCAGGCACAGTGGCTTACACCTGTAATCCCAGCACTTTGGGAGGTCGAGGAGGGAGGACTGCTTGATCCCAGGAGTTTGAGACCAGGCAATATAGCAAGACTTCATTTCTATTAAAAAGTATATATATTTTTGGTCGGGTGTGGTGACTCAAGCCTGTAATCCCAGCACTTTGGAAGGTAGAGGCAAGAGGATTGCCTGAGCCCGCGGGTTCCAGACCAGCCTGGGCAACATGGTCTCTACAATAAATCAAAAAAATTAGCTGGGCATGGTAGCACATGCCTGCAGTTCCAGCTACTTGGAAGACTGAGGCAGAAGGATCACCGGAGCCCAGCAGGTCGAGGTTGCGGTGGCTTGAGCGTGCCACTGCACTCCAGCCTGGGTGACGAGTGAGACTCCAACTCAAAAAATATATATATACATATATATTATATATATATACATATATATTATATATAATAGCTGGGCGTGGCAGTGAGCACCTGTAGTCTCAGCTACTGAGGAAGCTGAGATGGGAGGATCGTCTGAGCCCAGGAGGACAAGGCTGCGGTGAGTTGTGAGCCACTGCACTCTAGCCTGGGTGACATACTAAGTAAGACACTAACTTAAAAAAAAAAAAAAAAGAAAGAAAAAGAAAAAACAAATGTCCACAGGGTGGCAGCAGTGTGTTAGAAAAAACTTTGATAGTGCGCAAAATCTAGAATACCTGAATTGTAGAAATGTAATGCTGGACGGGCCTGAGGGACAGTCTAGAGTGGATCACCTTAATTTCGCATGAAAAAATGGAGGAACAGAAAGTTCAAATTCTTTGTAAGACTTGAGGCTCTCCAGCTGTCAGCGACAGCCAGCGCTGTAACCAAGAGCTCCTGAGACTTGGTTTAACGATTCACTCATTGGTTAATGTTTTACCCATACTTATCACACTAGTAAATGCAAAATCGTTTCAAAAAACTAGATTGATACATTTTGACTAGTGTGTAAGGGGAAAGACATGAGGATGTTGTAAGAAAAAGCTGAACTTTGCTATGAGGAATGTTCTTTGCACATTTAATCACAGCATGGAAGCTAACATGCTTATTAAGTATAGTTTAAAAAAAAAGTGCTCCATGAAATGTGGGATCCCACATTGGATCCCAGGACAGAAAAAGGCCACTAGTGGAAAAACTGGTGAAATCCCAGCAGTTTGCAGTTTAGTTCATGGTATTGTACCAACATTAATATCTTATTTTGACAAATGTGCCATGGCTACGTAAGATGTCCACATTCGGGGAAGTTGGGTGAAGGGTACAATGTAGATGGGAACTCTCTGTACTATCTTTGCAACTCTTCTTTAAAATTATCCAAAAATAATACCACGTGGTCATGAAGAAGAACGAAATCATGTCCTTTGCAGCAACGCGGATGCAGCTGGAGATCACCAATCTAAGTGAATTATCACAGAAACAAAACACTGAATACTGCATGTTCTCACTTATAAGCAGGCCCTAAACATTGGGCATGTTAGCACAAAGGTGAGAACAACTGATGCCGGGCACTACTAGCGGGGGGAAGGAGGGGAAATAAGAGGCACACAACCACCCATTGGGTACCATGTCCACTATCAGGGGAGAAGGCTCACTAGAAGCCCAAACCTCACCTGCACGCAATTTATTTATGTAGCAACTCCTCACGTGTATCACATAACTCTAAAATGAAATTAAAAATAAACTGAAAAGAAAGAAAAATAAATAAAAATAAAATCATTAAAAAAATAAGCCGGGCTTGGTGGCTCAGGCTGTAATCCCACGCCTTTGGGAGGCTGAAGTGAGTGGATTGCCTGAGCCCGTGGGTTCGAGACCTGCCTGGGCAGGCAAGACCTCATCTCTACAATAAATCAAAAAATTAGCCGGGTGTGGTAGCGTACGCCTGTAGTTCCAGCTACTTGAAAGGCTGAGGCGGAAGGATCACCGAGCCCAGCGGGTCGAGGCTGCGGTGGCCGGGAGCGGCCACTGCACTCCAGTCTGGGCAACAGAGTGAGACTCCAACTCAAGAAAAAATAAAAAAATAAAAAATAAAAGGTTTGTTAAAAATACTAATAAAAGTATTGAGTTGGGAGGCCAAGAGGGAAGAGGTGAATACAAGACTTTCCACGGTGTGCCTTTTTATATCATTTTAATCACTGAACTATGTGAGTATATTACATATTACAAATAATCAAATCATATCAAATGTAAAGTGCTGAAAAATAAATAAGCATGTGGTAAAATCAGGTACAAAGCCCATTTGATCATTGCTGGCAGTACTGATTTCCTTTTGCCTCTACTTTCTTAAGAAGTAACAACTCATAAAGGAGAAAGCAAAAAATAAATCAATGAAAAATGCATGCATGCATACACACACATACATACACACATACATACACACACACATCCACAGAGTAGTGTACCCAGCTGTTCAAATTTAAATGGTAAGGAAACCTGGTTAGGGGATTGCTAGGATGTAGAAAAAGACTTAATAACTCACCTCCTCTGTACATGTGTAGACTCTAAAACAAATAAAGCAAATGTATACTTCGTTTTATTCGTTTCACAAATAATTTACTAGGCCCCTATTCACCGTTCGAGGTGCCAGGGATATAGTCATAAATATAAAGTAAATATAAATAAAGTAGCCCTTGTAACTAATACTTGTATAAATCTTCCCTAAGGAATAAGATTTACCCATTTGTCAACCTATTTTAGGGCTTGCCCTTGAAATATTGTATCATTGATGTGGGCAACCCAGTGGTCCTTGATTCCTGGTATTGGTTCACTTGTGTAATACCTTCCCCTTCAGTGTGGGCTGGACTTTTTGACTCACATTTAATGAGAATAGGGAAGAAGCGACAGGATGTCACTTTGGAAATGAGGTTATAAAACAACTGTGACTTCCTTCTTAGGCACTCTCTTGCACTCTCTGGGGGGAAGCCAGCTGCCGTCTCATGTCCCAGCCCTATGGAGAGGCCCATGTGGCAAGGAATTGAGGTTTCCCAACAACCACGTGAGTGGGTTTGAAAGCAGATCCTCCCCCAGTTGAGCCATGAGATGACCGTAACTGGCTGACACTTGGCAGCCTGAGAGAGACCCTGAGCTAGAACCAACTGGCTAAGCTGCTCCCTGGCTCCAGAAGCCACAAAAATGGAAGCATTTGTTGTTTTCAGTCACTCTGCTTTGAGGTAATATTTGTCATGCAGCAATGAACAATGTAACTTCAGGACTGTTGCCACTAACACACACTGAGAGAGAATGGGGTGAGTTAGTGCAACATAAATTTGAGGGCATCCTCCATCATCCCTCACAGGGAAACTTCCTATGAGGTAAAAGGAAGGCCCAGAAGGGAAAGGGGGAAACAGCAGAAAATGAGGGTGCTCCCCAGGAAAGAAGAGGCAAGAAGAACACATGGTGAGGTGCAAGAGGATACATGAGTCCAGACTGGCGGTGCTGGGGCTCAGAAGGGGTGAGGTAAGACCTCTGTTATAGCTGAAGCTAATAAGGAATGATGTTTGGTAAGAGCATAAGCACGAAGGATCAAGTCTTCAGTTCACTTACTTGTGCAATTAAAGTTTTAAGGGCCAATAAGCGCCCCTGAGCCGCAGCTTCATGAAGTGGGGATCGATCAGCCCAGCAGTCTGAAACACAAACCAAGCTCAGAGTCAAGGTCCGGAGACTTCTTCCTGCAGCTTGTTCAGGCTACCCACTCACTGTGAGAGGACAGGCAGGGAAGACGAGGAAAGCTGGTGGCATGCATCAGGCTCTCCCATCAGCCACTTTCAGGGTGACAAGCTATAGAATGTAAAGTTCACTAGTTTGGTGGTGTGTGTCAAAAGGGGGAACCGCCGATCTCTCTGGTTTTTCGGGAGGCAGTTTTAACAAGCAATAGATTTAATTTAAATACAAGTGGATAGAGCCTGGTGCTTGAATCTGATAGCTCTACATAAGGCAAAATGAAAGGCAAAACAGGTCAATAAGCTTCCACATCTTTATCCTTCCCCCACCATCTACCCTTACCCACACCCCAAAGACTCAAAGACTCACTATGAAGGAGGCTCTAAGGGATCAGGGGGAAAAAAAATTTCCATAATTCCCTAGGTAATTGCTTCCTTTGATAAAGAGTGTATCTAAGTTTCAGAGTGTCATTTTTCAGATGATTTCATCCTCCAGTTTTTTGCCAAACAGCTTTGTTGTGGGCAGTTTAGTGTGATGGCTAAGCATGGGCCATGGAAACAGACTGCCTGAGTTCAAGTCCTACCTCGACCGTTTTCTCTGCCCAAATTAGCAAGTTACTCAAATTATTTGAACCTCAATGTCCTTACCTCTAAAATGGAGATATCGTGATCTAATATTTGGCAAGTGCTTTGGTCTCTTGTATCCATGATGTTACGTGCTCCAGACAGTTTATGATTGATATGTACGCATGATAGGGCAGCACTGGAAGGAACAGCCTCAGAACTGCCTTCTGGAGATATTTTTCTTATAATTGCTTGTCTGCAAACAGCTTAGATGGGCAATTGAGAAGTAACCTTCTATTAAACATGCAAAAGAGCAATCATTCGTTTTGGAAGAAACTCTAGCCCATTTTGCAAAATGTGGGTATTTTTCAAATCACGATTGTGCTCTTCATATGTTGGATTGAACACAATTAGAATTTAACACAAATGGTTCCTCTTATCAACCTCTTCTAGGTGATCCTGATGATGTTAAGAACCCGGGTTTCCATATGTATAAACTTGGCAAAACGAAAACCTGACCGAAGATGGAACTGTGTGAATTTAAAAGAACTCAAGGCCTTAAGGAGAGAGTGAACTTTTCCAATGGATGAGAACCACGGTTATGAACATGTCAATGAGCTTTCTTCCTACATTGAAACTCAACATATCATCTCTAACCTTTTGGATTATGAAAATAGGGAAAGTTTGAATGAACTTTACAGGACTGGATTGATATTGGAGAAATTGTTATGAAAATGTGACTTTCAATATATCTAGATAGATATAAAAATAAATTTAGATACATAGATGTGTGTATGTACTTTTTTAGCATTATACACTGATAAAACCTAAAGCAGTGCTTCTTGGATAAATGACTGATCCCAGGCGTGGGCCAAGAAGAATATGATGGGCCTCAAACTTTATCTTGCCAGAAAGTAAGGAAGCGCTCAAAGAAAGATGGGGAAGAATAAAAGGCACAGAAGTTAGCTTGAATGGGCTTCCACTGACCAAAGATAGGACAATGTGAGTATCAAAATAAACAATGAGATAGCCGGGCTCGGTGGCTCAGCCTGTAATCCCACGCTTTGGGAGGCTGAGGTGAGTGGATTGCCTGAGCCCGCGGGTTCAAGACCCGCCTAGGCAACTTGGCGAGACCTCATCTCTACAATAAATCAAAAAAAATTAGCCAGGCGTGGTAGCGTGCGCCTGTAGTTCCAGCTACTTGGAAGACTGAGGCAGAAGGATCGCTGGAGCCCAGCAGGTCGAGGCTGCAGTGGCCGGGAGCGGCCACTGCACTCCAGTCTGAGTGACAGAGTGAGACTCCAACTCAAAAAAAAAAAAAAAAGAGATAAGAGATTATACCATATCAAATAAAACAGTAAATTAAAAGTCATTACTGACATAAATGAATATATAATGACAGAGAAGAGAAAGCACTTTCTCATAATAGAATGTCAACTTTGAAATGTAGAATAATAGAATTAGCCTCAATCTGTCTCCCCACAGAACAAAATTTCAGAAACCACCTTACCCAGGTGATCAAATTTAACATCAGCAGTGATGGAACACAATGATACTGGGCGCCATCTGATGGAACACGATGAGTGAGATCAGAGGAAATGCAACGAGAAGAACATCGCTTCTGTGATATCCCTGCCCAAGATGTGTAACTCAAATCTGATCATGAGGACACTGCACACCAGATCAAACTAAGGGGACATTCTACAAAATAATCAGCCTGAAACCAGTTCAAGGAGGGACTGAGGAACACTTCCATATTGAAGGGGGTTGACAAGACACATCTGAAGGCAACACACCTGATCCTTTTGATATCAAGATCATTATTAGGACAGTTGGCTAAATATGAGTGGGTGAAGAGAAGTAGGAATGATTTGTACCACTCTTGTAACTTCTCTGTTGATTGAAATTAGTTCCAAATAAAAAGTTTAAAAAGATAGACAGACAGACAGATAATAGATAAAATCACTGGTGATCCCCTACTCCTAATATGAATGTGTAATGCTTTTATAGTAACAAAGAAAAGGTGCTGAAAATATTTAACATGAACATATATTGTGTTTGTATCTCTACTTGTTCCTGAGTTGGTTAAAAGTGGAATATTTTTAAATGAAGAGTGAAATATTTTAAAATCTCTTTGAACATTTATAATTTGCATAAACTGGAAATAATGAGATAATGTATGCAAGTAATCCTCAGTTAGTGAGGCTTGGCTTGCCTCTAATTCATTCAATGAATTATGCAACTCATTCCATCTGGAGTGCACTTCAGACAGGTTACCTTCTTGCCTACTCATTCTTGGAAGTGGATGCAGGCACTGTAGTTGGAGGGACAGTCTTTACCCACAGATACCGACTCAGGATCCCGACCAATGGGAGAAACAAACCCAGAGCTATAGCATTGTTACTCCATTGTTCTGACAACAGCCAGTCATTCCGAGTCACCTGAAGGCACAGTTAAGTATTCACTTCAAAAATAAAAACAAGATTTAAGTGGCAACTTCCTATCAAAAGATTTAACTTAGTATATCAACATTAAATGGCTTTATTATTTCTCAAACATGCCTCCAGGTGGGCTGTGGTGATCCCCTTTCCTGCTGGGAAGGAGGCTTAACCACATGTCTGTCCTATTTCAAACTTCCTAGTAACTTTCTGTTACTCATCCATCCCACAAGACCTGATCCATAGACACAACGTGGATAATCTCACAAACCTAACGTTTGATCAAAGAAACCAGACACAAAAGAACACATGCTGTGTGATTTGGTTTCTATAAAGTACACAAAGAAGGCAAACTCACCTCGGGGTTAGAAGTCAAAAACTGGGCTCAGTGGCTCAGCCTGTAATCCCACGCCTTGGGAGGCTGAGGTGAGTGGATTGCCTGAACCCGCGGGTTCAAGACCCACCTGGG